TATATATATATATATATATATATATATATCCGATTCCTCTTCCACATGTTGTGTACGGGGTTTGCTAATAAAATTACATTAACTTCTTGGCGTAACTTAAAAAGTAAAGTCAAATTGCTTAATTGAAACAGTAGGATGCCTTGGACTGCGTTTAATCTTTTGGTTCTTTCAGACAGGTCGGATGGTGTGTTTTTTTAAAATGTAATAGAATATGACCCGTTTCTAGGAGTTCGGGCACGTGTATGTCAGCAGCGTGCGAGCAGTAGGTCTACACTGAAAATGAATGGTTAAATACTAGTCACAAAGAAATGAGTATAGCTTGGAATACCAACATAATATGCAGTTTTTGTAAAACTAAAAAAAACGATTTGCTCTTTGCTGTCGTGTACTTTGTTCATTTTGTGCTGTTAGCGTGGGCCTACTCAGAACTAACGTTCAGTCATCGTCCTGATGACTGTGACTGGACCTTCGGCAATGATTTTCATGATTGTCGTAACAAGACAGAACAGAAGACTGAGTCGCACCCCAGCCAGCCAAATGTTGAAATAATTTAGTTTTTTTGACAGGACCGAAGAAAATCAAAAGAGCCGGTAAGAAACATGAAATTTTATTCGTTCAATTATTTTTGGCTTAATGACCCACACATCTAATTGTCATGTAAATAAGTATGAACCCCAACAGTTGCATAATGAATAATTTAAACATCTACAAAGACACGGGCGTCTCACGCCTCAGACACAGTCAGGCAAGTGTTACTGGAGGGGTTTTGCAAGGTATCTCTACCAGTACAACTCATGTTTAATACTTTGTAGGGAAGCGTCATTAATAGGAATTCATGCCTATGAAGTATAATTTTATCGAATGTGTATCACAGGCTACGTCGCCAAAGCTTTGGCAAAACGAGGAAGCCAATCAAGGCGCCACTTATACGTTTGTTTGTATTCGGCGCACATTTTGACATGGACTAGATTGTGGGATGTTCTCCTTTTTTAAGGCAGGCTACCCCAAAGCCACAGCTCGTCGCGGAGGGAGGATTGTGCCAGAACCGCAAGCGTGACACTAATTAGATGAATTCGGAATCTCCTCCACCCGGGCCACCGCATTCAGCGCCATTCACTCATTTCAATGACAAAGCATTTTAATGACAAAGCTGCGATGGAAGGGAAAAACCCAACATTTGCGCTGTTGCCTCTCAACTCTGGCCGTCGAGTAAAAGAAAATTGTAGATTAAACTGTTAATTACAGTTAATGTGTCGATAAATTTGGACTACACTTCTCAGACGTAGCCTCGTTTGTATATGTGTTTATCAGAATTGTCCTCTTAGTCCTGTCTCTGTGATAGCCCATGTCCGGGGATGGCTGTTCATTCTATTTGCCTTGCTTCTCGCCTGAGCGGCGGGACTTTATTAAATTATAACACCGCGGACACAAAGCGCTTTGTTCTCCGGTTCACTCGGCCGATTAGATAACGCTGGCACATTAAATTAGAGGAAAGTAGCACTATGAGTCATTAAGCTGTTAAAAGTTGTGAAACCGTAGTCGGTTTCGGAATGGAACAGAAAGAATTTAGCACAGTAATAACAATCGATACGTTAAGTTGACGGAATTGGGCAATGTACACCAGATGTGTGACTAACTGAACAGCATTCAAAACATTAATTTCAATTAAAGTGCAAACAGAACCATGGAATAAAAAAGTTTAAGGCCATTTGCTTGTGTAAAATGATATGAACAAATTATTTCGGTGAACGTCAACTGGAAACAGATCAACGCACTACTGGTATATTTTCAGTATTAATATGTGTTGTCGCTGTTTAAATAGCCTTTATTTTTGTTTGCATTGGCTTAAACTATATATTTACTTTCGAAACTGAAAGCTTGTTTTTTTTGCTCATCTACTGTACAGTGTAAGCGAAACTGCAAATATTACACGGATGGATGCACATTTCTTAGATTTCAGAAATAATGCGCTTCCCATACGTCACCTTTGTTTTACATCCCATAATATAAAATTAAATGACGGGTGAATCGATGCCACGGTAGAATTATGAACAATTTTACGCCGTGTAACTATTTTGCCAATGTTTGTGATGTTTTCGTTTTTTCCCTTTGCTAAACATAATCACCTGACCAAAGTAATTCACCTGAATATATTAAACCAGGGTCATCATCGAGGGTTCAGCGTTAATTGGAGCAAATGAAATGATTTTATTTCTGGTCATTATTTTAGATTTGGGTAAAAACTGTTTTCAGTGGCGAAATCAAGCCACGGATGACCGATACACTTATACTGTCCCAGCAAACGACCTTTTTATTAAGTTAATAAATGTGATAAAATGGGCATGTGATCCGGGGACACGTTCTTCAGAAAATGTAATTATTTTATTAATCATTTGTGGTATTGGGCGAGTGTCTGCATTAAACTCGGTCCTTCGCGGAGTTTTGCATTTAACAAAGTCCAAATCGTACCTTTTATGAAAACGACATTCAACAAAACGTAGTCTATAACTGTAGGGTTAGGGTTAGGGTTAGAGAGATGATTCGCAAAGCTGAGGTGTTGGTTCACATTAAAGGCGAAATGTCGCTTGGCGAATATTACAACTGGTTGATTACTGAATTGGGAAATGAATGGGGAAGCGTTTGTGTGTGTGGCAGGCGGCTGGGAATCGGCGACGGGCTGCAGGCGGCCTCACTGCCCCCCTGTGGCCAACGAAGGTAGCCGCAAACACATATAACCCTTGCTATGATTTACTTTTATTAATGAAGTGGCCGTCACATATCAAACTTAGAATTTGGGGCTTTTTAATACTCTGACATGTAATACAAAGTATAGGTTACACAAGTTTTAAAAGCGACAAATTTGTAGTGGGCCTGGTTCCGTTGGAACTTCAATTCTCTAGTATTTAATTTTATAGGAGACTATTAACCGACCCAGAAGAACAAACAGTCAGTCACTTCTGAAGGTCCAGAACAGTATGTTGCAGACACCTGTCCTGAAATCCAGACCCCGCTCACTGGTTAAAAACTTACATAATAGTTTTAATATGTGCTTGACTGCCTTCTGGCAGTAAAAAACACAGTTCTGGCCGGAGTCTGTACAGGGCTTGATAGCAAAAGTCATGAAAAGTTACTTCATTAAAAGCAGGTGTGTCAGCTTCTTGGATTACACGGTTTCTATGGAAACTCGCTCTGTGTTTGTTCAGAGTAATTTACGCAAAATAGTATTTCCCCGGTAGGTCCCAGCTGGGAATAGTGTTTCCCTTTCATTTGAACGCTAACTTTCTGAGATTCATCGCATTTTTTGGGTTGAGATTTTTTTATTATTAAAAAAGAATCTGTGAAGAAAGAGTCCATCGCAAAAAGGATAATGCAAAAAAAGGCGTTAAAACATGGGACTCCAGAGAGTCCAATGGAAACGTTTTAAAAATATGAGTATGATACGGACAATTAAAATGTCTGAAATCCTTGTCGAGTTTAAGGCTGAACATGTCCCGCTGGCAAAACTTACATTACAGCAACTGACATTGCGATTCTAGCCCTGCTTCCACACCAGCGGTATTCAGATGTAAAACAGCGCTGGATTGTAACATGATGAACATTATATTAACACACATTTTTGAGGTAAGTAAAGTGAGTTTTATGGAGTTAAAAAGCGCTGGTGACTATTACGCTTCCGTCATCTCCCAAGGTCCAAGTACGGCCTAGCAATACTCAACTTTCTGCTGTTTGCTAACTATATAAGCAACCACCATGTCTTCAAGCATAAGGTTAATTGCCACTAAAATGTGTGAAATCGGTGATTGTTTTAATTAGCGCTGGCGCATAGTGCGTATACAGGAGCGGCGATTCAAGAGACATGCTCGCGGCCGTCCGCGTAACATATGGGCGCCTCGCCGCTCAGACTCGCCCGTGTCGTCGTGCACGGCCTTCCCACTCCTTCGCTAACTTTCTCTTAAGGTCAGAGGCGAATGAAGACAGAGTGTTCTTACATTCAGTCCCACCACAGAACTACAAAGTGCTTTCATAGAGTTTCATGCATTCCTTGATATTAAGCAGGCCTGTGATTTAAAGTTATGTACACATGGAAGGGAAACAATCCAGGGCTGATCAGATCCCAGGCTGGAATTGATCCGACACGTTAGGGTTTATGTAATTCTTCGTTCTTGGAATCGGCATTTCCCTTAATCCCAGTGGAGTAAACCAAGTACCACAAGTAACATCAAATGTTCGTGTGGACCTGGATATTCCTTAACATTAATACCTAACGCGAAATGCTCGGAAGGTGATATAGTGGGTGACGTCAGTCCCACATTATTCCTCTTGTAGGTGCATCTAACATAAAAATGAATTTCACATCTAATAAAACTTTAAAAGCAAAGATTTCCCCGTTGTGTTAAATTGACAGTGAGCAGAAATAAGATGATTTTTTTTTTTTACACAGGAGCACAGGCTGTGTCTGTTTAGTATAGCGCAATACTGGTGTGCACAGGAAGACACTCCTAAAACAGGTGGAGCAGCTTGTCCTCTGCGTCCTTCTCGAACTGACGCTCCGCCTTAGGAGGTCATGTCGCAAGCAGCCCCAGACATCACCTGAAGTGTTTAACGTCCGTGGTTAAAGTTATATGAGGCCAGATATATCACAGGAAATGCGGGATAATTGCATTCCCGGTGGAGGTGCGGTGCTCACTGCGTCAGTGTGCTGTCTCAGCGACGTCACTAAGTGGCAGTGTAAGGCCCGGCCGTGTCTCAGTGTAGCTGGACGGTGACCTCGCAGCCCCTGGCTGTCTGCCTACCTCCCCATCTCCATTAGGTCTCCGTCACGCCTCCGTCTTCGTCTCCGTCAGGTCTCCGTCCCCAGCTGTCTCAGGCCGTAGCCATGCCGGGCTTCAGACACCCTTGGATTTGGTGCAAATTCCTTGTTTCATCCATTTGCGCTCAACAGCAATTTGGTGCAACTAAAGCCAAATGGGGGGGGGGTTGGATGTTTGAATCATTCCCACCAAATTTCTCATTTCGATCAGGATTAATTGATTTACGAGATAATTAAGACTTTCTTGGAAATATGTGAATTGCTTATTACAGATGTAGTTTTTTCCCCCCAATTATACCTGTCTGATTTGTTATTTTTTCAATTATATGAATCAAATTACGTTAGGTGAAAAACAGTTTTAATTAGCTCAGAATCTCAATTTTACAAGGCATTTTTTTTTCTGGATGAAATTATTTTCCACCTCTGTTAATTGTTTTTATGAGGAATATAGGGAATAATATGTTAAATCCTGTCCTATGAAACAGGACACTGCATACATCTTTCATATGTGTGTCTGTGTGTGTATAATACTGTACATATATAAATACACACACATACACATATATATATATATGTGTGTGTGTGTGTGTTTAGAAATGCATATATGTTACCATACTCAAGCTGTTAAAATGGAAAATAGGACATAAAGCTATTTTAGCTGCCCGCCGCCCCCAGTGTCGGACATCGCTCTTCATTCTTGTCCCCACCCCCCATGCAGCCTTCCTGCAGTGATTGGTTTGTGCCAGTGAGGGAGTGTCCAGTCCAGCGGTGATAAAGTGACGGTGTGGTGTACATCGTGACGGGAGGCTGTCCTGATCCCCGGGGGCTCGGTGCGTGGAGAGCGACACGATTGGCCAAGGCGGCTGCGGCCATGACGACAGGAGCAATGCCGCTTATGGGCTGTTAATGACCCCATGGAAAATAGCCCCACGTTCAGTCATGTCTCTCTCTCCTTATCTCCGTCTTGTATATGTGCGAGACTTAAGTTCAAAAAGAACAAACATTCATTGAGGAATAAAGGCAGTTTTACTGTAAATGTATATGTTTGTGCAAAATTTCTGTTCCATCAAGAATTGAGGTCAAGGGTTGTCAGTAGAAAGAGTATAACAGACGCACACACACACACACACACACACACACAGACATGCACACAGACACAGACATCCATACACATGCACATACACAGAATCACACTCACACACATGCATCTTGGAGAAACAGACACACATCCTTTTTGTTGATTCATGGTCCTCATGACTTCCTGGGTCCTTGTGATAGACACGCGTTTGTTCCCTAAGAAGGGCATTTTTGTTTGATCTTTATTCAGCTCTTTTTCTTATGTCTGCCACAGTGTGAAGTACCATTACAGCCCCTTATTCTTTCCTTCATATTGTTTTTCCTGAAAAAATAATAAAAATTTTCTCTGTGGATTAATGAATCTTCATCTTGCATTTGGACTGTATGTACAGGGCTTAAGTGGGCAAATTCTGTCATTGGTTCATTTATGTGTACATCCCAACCTCTAGGGGGCGCCCTGTCAAAGTGATTATAACTGCTGAATACAGCAACACAGTGAGGTGTGCAGAACCCTGCTATGGACAGGCATCCAATCCAGGGTGTGTCCCCGCCTGGGATCAGCTCCCGCCCCTCCCCCATGACCCTGACCTGGATGAGTGGTTAGAAGATGGATGGATAGATAGAGTGTGTGAACACGTGTGCACACACACGCACACACACACACGCACACACACACACACACACACACACACACACACACACACACACACATCTATCCAAGTCCACAATGGGATATTACCCTCAGGTTCAGATTTATGTGATGCATTAGATGTCAGGGTATTTGAGTAATACTGTTTTTATTCCCTCCCCAATGTACCTTTAGTCGAAGGCTTAATGGTCGGGCCAAGGGAGGGGGGGGGGGCGGGCTCGTACTGCTTGGGTGTTTGTTTGACAGGACATGGCACTGCCGACCATGCTCTCTGTCCCTCGGTATGGAGACATGCCCCGTAACTCTCGGTGTGGGGGGGGGTAGTTGAAGTGCAGGGAAGACATTAATCAGCTTTTTTTCTCCCCCCTCTTTTTCTTTCTTCTCTCATCTTCCGTCAGGCAGGAGAAGAAAAAGCCCAGGAGGAAGTGTGTGTGTGTGTGTGTGTATGTGTGCGCGCACACGCGTGTGTGTGTGTGTGTGTGTGTTTGTGCGCGCACGCGCGTTTGTGTGTGTGTGTGCGCACGCGCGTGTGTGTGTGTGTGTGTGTGTGTGTGTGCGCGTGTGCATATTTCTAATGCGTTTTGAACGCCATCCCACCCTGGGCCCTGTTTAATCCCAGTACAAATGTTTTGACAGCAATAAAAATCATTTTAAAAAGATCATCGGCAGGAAAAAACCATCGCAGGCCGTCAGCCTTTAGCACTACCGGCTCCTTAGCTCTCCGCCTCCCTCATCTCCTCTCTCTCTCTCTCTCTCTCTCTGTCTCTCCTCATCTCCCCCTCTCAACCTCCCCCGGTCTGTCTTCACCTTTTTCCTTATCCCTTTCTCTGTTTGTTTCTTTGTCCTTTTCTCCTGCTCAATCTCCCCCTCTCTCTGTCTCTTTCTTCGTCCCTATCTCTCCCTTTCTCTCCCTCCTTTCTCCTTCTCTCTTCCCCTCCCTCATCTTCACTCATCTCTGCCTCTTTTGTCTCTCCCTGCCCTTCTCCCCTTACCTCCATCTCTCTCCTTCCCTATCTCTCCTTCCCGCTCTCTCTCTTTCTCTCTCCTCCACTCTCCCACTCTCTCATCCTGCTTAGTCACTGGGATACCATAGATGTGGCACAGATCTCTCGTCTCTCTGTCAGTTGGTCAAACATCCAGAAGCCCTGGAGCTGGGTGGTGGTGGGGGGGTTCGGCCGTGTGGCTCCTGTTCCTCCCACCTCCCAGCACCACCCTCATTGCTCCCCGCAGGGTGCCGCACTCTGTCCCCACTCCTTATTCTTTTCCATCCACCTCTTGTCAAACCAGAACCGAGTTATTCAGCGATTCGGGGCAGAGGCCCTCTTTCTGACATCATGGTGCCAGAGGCGTCTGTTGTGCAGTTGTGTGAAACTGTAAATGTTTCCAATCAACACATGACAAGATTTACGGAATATACTTCGGAAAATATTTCCCCCGGTTCCATCGACTGCAGATGAATGAGGTGTGAAGAGTTTCCATTCGCCAATCGATGCTGTGTTTGATTTCCCTTTTATTACTTCCACACGGCGTCCGTAATGGGGCTGCTGCTCCCTGTGCCCAGACGTCTTCTGTACGGCGTGTTGGTCTGCTGGATAAAGCAGCCCTGAGATCACATCATGATCTCTGTCCCCAGTCCCCAGCTCTGAACTGGAGGGACTGGGAATGAGCCCCTCCAGCCACCTGACATTACCTTACACTGACCACACCCACTTTGACGTGACACATCACTCAGAGGTATGATGGCAGGACCCTCCAGGTGCTTGAGCTGGCATCCCTCAGGTCTTTAATTATTACGCTTCACCGTCCTGTTGGTGCAGAGGCCATTAACATACCAGTCTCACCTGATTGGGTCATCATCCACAATCTGACCAATCAGATGCTATGTGGCTGGTACTGACCTTTACTGCACTACCTGTGCAGATACTGACCCAGCCCGGTCCCCCGGGGGCTGCATATATAGCAGTGAGCTGCTCCTTTGGTTCAGGGGAGCAGGCGCTATGGAGATCATCAATGCAGCCTTGAAGGTCACTGGGTGAACTTTCGAAAACGCCATGTATGGAGGGATAAAGTTCAGCATTTATAAAAGCGAAATAACCAAACACACAGGCATAATAGTCACGCTTCAAGATGAACTTCACCCAAAGTATTTAAAAAGGAAGATATCAATCCTCCATGCTGATGCGCCAGGCTTGTCACATGACCGACAGGTGCCTCTCTGATTGGGTTGAGTGGAATAGACCCAGTCATGTGACATTGCTTCTGCAACACATCTGGCAAGGCGTTAAAAAGTAAACAAACCCGGCGATAGAAGGCGGCTGAACACCTGAGCTGGACGCTCCGTCGTCTCAAGAGGACTTTTCTGTGGGAGGGTGAAGAGAGGGCGGGGTGGGGCGGCTTTAGGTATTTGGGGGGTAGTGGCTGGTCTGGCTGGGGGGGGGGGGTCCTGTTTAATCAGCAGGCATTTAATTGGCTCCCGGACTCCTGGAGATTCCACATTTCAATGAAGCAGAGTGAGACCCTCGAACGGCACCCTTTTCTAATTAAAATCGTTATAAATCCCCAGCGCTGCATCACACTGCATTAACTGAGCCGCTTTAACGAAAAAGAAAGCCGTAAAAATCCCGCAATAAAAAAAAAAAACTGCAGATTTTAACCCCATGGGCTGGGTGTGTGTGAGAGTACAATGATGCTCTCCTTCCCGTGCCCCTCTCAAAGACAGAGGGGGGGTTAGCGGGGGGTGGAACAATAGTGGGACGTTCAATTAACAGATGACTCAAGCCGCAGGACTGGAGCCCCGCTGTCACCGTGGAGACAAGCAGGCTGAGGGAGGGGGCGGCTGCTGCCTGCACCCAGCCGGGGGGGGGGGGATTATTCGGGCCCTTTATCCGGGATCCTCTGGTGGGGGCAGCAGTTGGGATGGGGAGGTCGCATTTCTGTAGATGACCTGCGAGCCCCTCCCTGGTCAGTATGGGGAGACAGAGGAGCTGTGAGGCTCAGGCACTCACGGGGGGGCGTTGCACCCCTTAGAGCTGGTAGCCACCATGTCCCCAGTCAGAGGGGTCACCATCAATGGGACTAGGCCAGGGACCGGCTGTGTGTGAGCCAAGCAAATTGGGCAGCTGAATTAATACAATAAGATAGCCTCCCCCCCCCCCCCACAAAAGGCTGTAGGTGTGGAGATGCAGGCATCTGAACATCATAACAGCGGGCCTGTGCCTCCCATGATGCTGTGCCGTGTGACGTCCGGCCACGACCTTTGGCGGTCCGGACCGTGACAGCGGTCCAAGCCTGTTTATCTAATTCCCCTCCCCCTGCCTCTCCACTGGATTTCACCATCCCCTCTGGAAAGACGCAGAAAATGCAGATGGATGGCTGAGGACGGCTGCGGTGCTCCTGGGCTCCACCGGGGGGCAGTGTGAGCAGAGTGGCCCAAGCCAAATCACAGGACCGGGTGACCGCAATAAGGGGGTAAAAAAAAATACTTCTGGTGAATGGCAGGAATTGGTGGGGGTATGGAGGCTCCAGAGTAATCAGCGGGATTTGGTGAAAGAAATAAAGGATGTGTGTAGTGGGGGGGGGGGGGGGGGGGGGGGGGGGGGGGGGCAGAGGGTAGGGGGTCTCAGTAGGCATGGTTTCCTGTTGGGAATTGCCCATGCATCATTTTCACATCTCTGGCCGGCTTTGCCAATAACAGAGAGAGTGGGACTGATGACACACAGGATTAATGAGATTGGGGGCAAGGGAGTGTGTTGGGGGGGCAGTGGCGGGGGGAAGATGGTCAAACCAGATGTCGAGCGAGAGGGAGTCGGCAGAAGGTCACGACGATATCACGCTCCTTCACTCCCCCCCCGTCCTGTGGACTAACACAGGTACACAGTGACTGGGGGGGGGGTGAGGGGGGCAGGACTCCGAGGGGGCCGCTGTGTTTTTGTTTTGTTTTATTCATTTTCGTTCCAGGTAAGAGTCACATTGAACAAGGAGCAGAGTCCAGGTGACCTGAGGATCAGCAACCGCGAGCACAGAACCAAGAGCGCCAGGCTGTCAGAACGTGGCCCGGGTGCAAGAGCTGGTGTGAGAGAAGGTTCTGGAAAAACTGCCAAGAGCTGTGCCCCAAATCCCACTGGGATGCCGTCTCTCACTCCTGCCTTCTCTTTTCCTCCTGTGGTGACGCCTTCTTGACCCTGATCATTAGTGACATCTGCTGTCCAGAGAAATTCTTGCTGACTCGCGAAAACAGAGACTCAGGACCCCTCAACTGCTGCACACTTTGGATATACCTTACTCCCGTACGTTTCCCAGAATTCCAATGTT